GGAAATCGAATTACTGCACCAACGCCTTACGGATATAGCCAGTCTCGGTCTCGAGAGGTTTCGGAACCTAAAGGTGATTTTCGTCAATCATTACGCTAATGTAATATTTTAATTAGTAAGAATTGCCTATCTCCCATTTGAACAGAAACTATGTCTCAGACAAAATCGTATTACCCGAACCGAAGGAATCGAGGTCTTGACGGGTCTAAAGGATCTAGATCTTTACGATAATCGGATATCTCGCATTGAGAATCTAGAAGGGTTGACTGAGTTGGAGTAAGTGATGAAGTTAGCATTTGATCTTCTTAGAAGTTGAGCTTCAAGAGATCACAAATTAATCTATCAACAGGTCATTGGATCTCTCCTTCAACAAAATTCGAGATATTGAGAATTTGGAGACCCTAACAAATTTGAGGAACTTGTATTTCGTTCAAAACAAGATATCCAAGATTCAAAATCTAGACACTCTCGTCAATGTATTTAATTTGGAGCTTGGTGCCAACCGAATTCGAGTGAGCATTTGATTAAAGAATACACGAACAAATTTCTTTTTTAAAGATTGTTATGACAACATCCTTTTTCATTAATGTAGGTAATCGAAAATTTGGATAAGTTAGTTAATCTGGAGCAACTTTGGCTTGGAAAAAATAAAATAACAGAGTTACAGGTAGAAATATTTGGACATTCTTATAAATCAATCATAATTTATTTAATAAATCCGAAATTCCGCATTCTACAGAATCTAGAAAATTTGAGGAATCTTAAGATCCTAAGCATTCAAAGTAATCGCATAACCAAAATTAAGGGTTTGGAAGGATTAGTTAATCTGGAGGAATTTTATATAAGTCATAATGGAATCAATGAGCTTGAAGGATTTGAGAACAACGTTTGTATAGTTTCCTTCTAACTTTATCAGAGAATTGATCGCGCATATTATCAAATTTATTTTTAATTATTCATTGTTTGTATTCAGTTAAAATTGAGGGTTATCGATGTTAGCAATAACTACATTAAAAAAATTGAGAATATCTCTCATCTAAAAAATTTGGAGGAATTTTGGGTAAGGATTCTTCTATTTTGTTCATTTTAGTCTCGGAAAGTTAACTTCGAATTAGGAGTGTTGCTTGTAAAACAAGTTTCCAAAGGATAATTGCAGAAATCTTGCCTTCTATTCTGTAGGCTAGTAATAATCAAATACTAGACTTTGAAGATCTATGTAAACTTCAACACCTCGATAAATTGACGACGGTCTATTTCGAAGGGAATCCGATACAATCAGACAATGAAACCACTTACCGACTTAAAGTGAAAACCTATTTACCCCAGCTCACGCAAATAGATGCCACGTGAGTCCATATTTCCTTTGCTACGAATATGACATTTGCTCTATCCAACGATCTAATCTTATTTAAATATTATTGTGTAGATATGTGCGACCATAACTGCTTTGCTCCTTCAGAGAGATTTTTCGTTTTGAATAATAATTATTTTTCCAAGATTTTTAATGGCAATTTTCAAAAACATATTCCAGCATTAAAACTACGTATAAACGAAATATCCTTTTACACCTGACTAATAAAAATCTTGATTACCACGGAGAGGGTGATCGAAGAAACAACATTGAAATTTGAATTTGTAATAAAGAATTAATTGATTAATATAAAAGATTATTTATATTAACAAGCATAGTAAGGGTAAATGTAGAAGCCTTTTTTTCCTTAATAAAAACATCTTTTGTCCAATACAAAATTATGTCAGACACGAGGCATCTTTTTATTATAATGATGTTTTTAATACAGTATATACAGCATATATATTTAATTAACAAATATCATTTTTATTTAAATGTAATTTTTTTTTAATGCAGCACAAAAGCAATTCCACAAAAGTATACAGTATATAGAAAATTAAAATATACAATTGGAATTAAATTAAAATTAAAAGGCTTATTTTTCTTTATCGTGAGAAATTGATATTCAATACATTGCATGCGCTGCATGAAAAATAATGATTGTTCATTATTTGCCTTAAAAAAAATTATTTTGACAAATTTAGATAAAATAATTTGGTTGTTATAATGGTTGTTTAACTGTTTTTTCTAAATGTTATAATATTTTAAATATCAAAAAAAAAAACTTTTTAATATGATTTACAATGCATATTGCATTCAGAATCTAAAGTTTAGGATTCTGGTTCTACAACGTATACTGGTATACTGTGTTATATTTGTTTGCCAATGAAAAATATATGCACAGTATAGGAGCATTCTGCTGCACATTTATTTATCATTTAATTTTCCAATCATTTCTGCCTTGTACTGATATATGTCGTATTCTGAACTCTCGTGTGCTTTCTGATAAGCAGCAGCTTGTGACGAGAATCAAGATAAACAACGCTATGACCAACTCCTAATACGATAGCAATCTAAACGTTAAGTTCAAAGCATTGAACGCAATGGTTATACATGGTGTTGGCGCATAAAACTTCTTGTAAAATTTCACGGATTTTAGCTCGCATAATTAGGGATATTGGTGCCTTCGTATGACGTTCATGCTTTTCTTTTTCTTCTGGGGTTGGATACATCCTTATTATTTGAGCTTTCAACCTCTCTTTGTCGTTTTCGGTTCTCGGCTGATCTGAGCTCGTTGTGCCTTGCCGTGAAAATTGTAGCAATTGATAGTAGGTCCTCGGCAAGCTCACCGGATTCGGTGTCATCGATGTTGATGTCCGAACCGATTACCACGATCTTTGTACCGTTCTTGCCAAGAATCCATTCAACAAGCTCGTACGCAACTCTGCAGAGCCGATCCTTTCTGGCAACCACAACCTCTTCGATATCTCCTTGGTACGATCGTTCCAAAATAGATACAAAGCCTTCACGTTTCCAGTCGAGACCTGATCCAATATCTGTGATAAGTTCGTGGTCTGGACATTCCTGCCTGAGGTACTCGCATTGCTTGTCGAGATCCTCTTTCTGCTTCTCTGAACTGACCCTTGCGTAACAGATCTTTTTCTTTACCTTTATCCTTTCTTGACTTCCAAAGATCCTTTCCACATCTGCTACAGAATACAACCTATTACCACCAGCTGTTCTGATGCTTGATATCTTTCCTTGGTTGTTCCACCTTCTCAATGTCTCCGATGAAACTTCATATGTTTTTCTGATCTCTTGTGCTCCACGATACTTTGTAGTTGACATTATCTTGATCAGACATACGAAAAAACGGGACTTATTTATATTTTACAAAGAAAATTGAATCATCAACAATGATGTAATGATGACAATTCGATATTCTTTGTCATTGATAATCAAAATAATATAAGATACTTACTATAATTAA